AGAAGGAGAGACGCATCTTCGATGCTGCAATCTCTAAACTTTTCCATAAATTTCAATGATTTTTTTCAGTGGAAAACGCCGACGCAAACAGATTCTCCTCAGCCTCTCTGCTATGCAAAGTCCCCTTTCTATGCATGTGTCTTTGTCTCTGTCTTTCATTGCGGATTTCAAATCCTGAATGTCTTCCCCTGCTCTTTCCCCGCAGCTACGCTGCGGGGGGTCCACTTGTGCTTATAATAATTATAGAACGCGGCCTCACACATACACCCATAGGACCCGATTAGACTACTAGCCTTAAACTTACGTATTCTGGCGGTTCCCTCATCGGGCAAAGTGTGTTTGACCACTTTTCGGTCCCAGTCGAACTGGGGTTGTGCAACCGAGAGGTAGTACATACCTAACAAGATATCCATAGGGAGATCATCGCTGACTAGGAACGAGACACGATGTATCAGTTCCCCTCCCGCGTACGGGATAAAACACTCAAATGTCTTTAAGGTAGTCATTGACTACCATGCGCTGTTTGTTGGCACAGGTCGACTCCACATGTCGACTCAGGCACTGCACTTGCCCCTGTAAGCGCAGCCTCTCAATACACGCGCGACTAATAAAATTCCGCGTCGAACTAGTGTCATAATAGGCCCCGACCTTGCGTCCACCGATGACTACCTTACCGACGAACATCTCACCCTTAGGGGCTTTAGCCATGGCCGTCCAAGAAGCTAGCGGGTCTGATCTAGACCACTCCTCCTCTAGCTCCTCTAAGGATTCAAACACATGCATCGAACAGGGGCTCGACTGGTTCGAATGTGTTTGCGGGACGACGACAGAGTCAGTAGCTTGGACCATCTCTCGAGATGGTGAGGGTGTATCCACCACCTCGACCCTAGCAGGAACAACTACTATTCCTACTGGCCCGACATGTTTCCCGGAGCAGTGCCAAAAGTGCTAGCAACATTGCTACCTTGGGAAGCGGAGGAACTCGACGCCTGCCCCATCGTAGGCGGAATTCTTTCGGTTACCTTCTTATTACGACACTTGAACTGATTATGGCCATATTGGCCACAACGGATACAAGCCTGCCGGGTGTACCGGTCTCTCCACACGTCCTCAGTGAGACCCGCTTTCTCCCATGGAGGAGCATTGGGTTCAACTTGACTCCTAGACCGGGAACCCCGAGTCCTGCTTAGCTGGCCAGCCCTGCACCATATTTATCCTTGCGTGCAGCGAGCCTTACACCGATCGATTGGCTGATCAGGAGGCGTTTTTATGGACGGCCCCCGAAGTTCTCAGAAATTATTTAACGTCGCAAACAGGACGATGATCACAACCAACGGAAGGTCCCCGCCGATACTTATTTATAGACGTCCAGTACTCGTCTTTCCCGTAGGGCTGGCTTGCCCCTCAGAACCCATCTATAGCGCAACGAGCAGACAAAGGACAAAGTAGCAAAGCATGCGTGCTCTACTCCCGGTGGGTTGGCATGGTGACCGTGACCCAGTGCTTTGTCCAGGGCCCTTCAGATAGCACCGCCCTCTCCTTCCAGATACTCCACGTGAACACCGACGACTCTCAGGGTTGAGCGCACACGACTCCTCACATGAGAGGACTCTCACGACGAACACACATCCTCACGGTAAGAAGTGTCGAAGAGGGTAGATAAGGTTAGGTGCAGTGTATCTCAAAATAGCTGCCCCCAACCACATATATTCTCAGCAGATGACCCGATGCCGATTGTGATGACCAATCGCTGCTTCGGCACAACCAACATTACACAGCCATTCCACGTCAGCATCAATCGCACATCAGATAGTTCTCATCACACTACGAACACCCAATATTCACCACGTAGCCTTCCTGGCGATACCCCTCATCTCCTGGGTCGCCGTGCTTGCCTTCACCCTCCTCACTACATACTCCCTGTGGCCGCTCGCCCAGCAGACCGCATGCATGTACCACATAGGCAGAAGACGAGCGCCAGATGAGCGCAATGTACCACAACTCCGATACCAATTTGCAAGGAAAATGAGCGATAGTGAACTTTAGAAATCAAACAACAGTATACACATGAAACCAGATAGTCGTGACCTCGAACCAAAAGCAGAATTGCATCACGAGTTCCACCAAATAAGAGCACAACAAAAGCTCATAAGTGACAATGCTGGAATAGTCTCATCATCATCAACAAAGAACCAATGTCGATATCCTATCTGGCGCTCGGTGCCCAGACTACAAATGGCAGATCCTATCTAGCCTATCTACAATGTCGCTGATGATGTCAACAACTCCCCAAAGTACGAGCAGATCTCGGCCAATGCCGTTCGCCTCAAGCACCAGGTATGTCTCACACATCATTCACAACCTCAATTCCCCACTCACAGATGCCACATGCACTCAAGGACCACCACGCACCCCATCCAGCTTATAGCAGCGCAGCTCGGCTATGGCTGCCTGCTCCTTCCAGCTCACCCGTGGGCAGGTGAGCGCTGGCCAGCGTTAGCGCAGAGCGCTTGCGCAGCATCCAAGCAGTGCCCGAATGCCGAATGCGTGGGCAGGCACTTTCCTAAATGGAAGTGGCCTGCCTGCTTGCCTGCAGCCTGGCTGCGCTGGGCCCCTGCCCAGAAGCTTCCGGTAGGCCCAGAGAGGCTGAGCCCCAGTCCAACCCTGGGCCTGTGGGTTGCTCGTGTCCAACCTGTGTTCGGTCCATGTAGCGAATCTGGCCCAGGGCCTGTCTCAGTTACATTCAAAAGAGGCAGCCTGGGCCTGGGCGCTCTCAACCAACTGGTGCTGCGCAACTGCCTGAATTTCCCCAGTTGCGTGGTGACTCCAAAAATGGGCCTGTAGGCCTTGGTCGAGGATGCCTTCACTTAGGGCGGCCGACTGTACTGGAAATAGGGCCCAGTATGGCGTATCAAGGCCTTGAGCCTTGCACTTTATTTATATTTTAAAAATAAGAAACTGCAAGGAATATGAGTGTGAGCGATATACATAAAACCAAGTTGTGAAATCACACAGCTGAGCAAGTAGTAGTATCCCAAGTAGAGAGTACACATGCACCGAGAAAACCATCCATAAAGAGCAATACAATGAAGTATTGAGCCAATGTCCAAGCCCGTACTCTACCATACTATCCTACTCTACAGCTGGTTCACACAACAGGATCACTTCGGCTCATGAAGACCAATGTACATGACTGTCCACACCATCGACGACCTCTCTTCATGTACCAGGTATGTATCTCGTCACCCTCAATCAGACCTTGATTACCCCACACAACGCCTCACTCCCTGAAGACCACCCGATCATCCGCTGTACCCCCTGGCGCCTAGCAGCCCGGCTATGGCCGCCTGCGCCCAGCTGCCCTGCAGCTCCCCACCTCACCTCTCGCGCCCCGTCAGCGCCCTTGGCAGCAGCGCAGCATCAAGCGAGAGCGCAGCAGCACTTCCGCATTGCCAGCGCTGGCCCAGAATGCCTGGCCTGGGCTGCCTCACTTCCTTTATGGAAGTGGCAGCCTGCTGCATGCTGCGTGTGGCCTGGCTGGAAACTTCCAGTAGCTTCCGGTTGGGCCTCAGATCCTGTGCCCAGGCCGAAACTTACAGTTGAGGGCCTGGGCCCTTTACAGTTGGGCGCGGCCTGAGTCTCCGGACTTGGGCTGTTAGCTGCATCTGTGCAGGGCCCCCAAGTAGGTGCGTCGGCTGTACTGCTTTTCCAAAGGCCGACGGCCTGCTTCTCAATGTATTGGCCCTGCTTTGGTGTATAGGTGCCCAAGCACAACTTTTGAGGCCTGGGCCAACTGCACGGCGCAGCTTAGTGAGGCTCGCACGTTCACTCAACCAGTTGACGCGCTGCAAGAGCTTGAATACCCACATATGGAAATGTCGAATTTGGCCTGTGACGAATATTCAGGCCCGCCTTCACTTAGGGCGGGCACTTGGCTTGCTGGGGCCTTGGCCCAGAACAATGTGATGTCTGATAGGGCCACTTGAGGGCTTGTTCCTCACATTCCATCCCCCTTAGCTTCGAAAGTCCGCTGAGATGCTTCATGCTGGTGCCTTCCCCTTCAATCTTTTCTCATAATCCGCCACGATCTGAGGAGCTGTGTTGACAAGTTCCTCCCTTGAAATCCATAGATCTTCCTTCGGATCTGTATGATGCCTGAAGTGTACTCTGTATTCCCTCGTAGGTTTGGGAGGTCTTCCCCTGCCAGGTGGCTTAGAGACAGGCGTATCTCTGTGATCCAGGATGTCGGCGACGTCCACGTGGCCATCCATGGTTGGGGACAGCATAGATCTCCGTGATGGGAACCGTGCTGTCTCAGCGAAAGGTGCAAGTTTGGAAGCGTGGAAAACAGGGTAAGTGCGTAAGTGACCAAGGATACGAATAACGTACGAGGGACCATCCAAATCATTCCCCACGATATCCAGGACTTCCCAGGGACCGAAATACTGGGGCATTAGTTTCCTAGAGACGCCAAACTCTTGTCCCAGTTCACTAGCCTTGACCTAGACACGTTCCCCTACCTGAAATGTGGACTGTCGACGATGCTTGTTCTCAGAAGCAATCATGGCTTCTTGAGATTTCTTGATATGCTCGATAGTCTGCTACAACAGTTTTTCATACTGGACTCCAAATTCAATGGTTCCAGGAGTTGGAGCAGTTCGATTTTCAGGCATGAGGAAGTCTAGAGCGGATCTAGGCTTCCATCCGAGATGTAGCTGATTAGGACTGACACCGATGGTGTTGTGTACAACATTGTTGTACAGACTGGCGATGAGAGGCAACTTCTCATCCCAGTCATCCTGGCTGGGCTTGATGTAATGCCTCAGCAGATGCTGCACCACTTGGTTCATCTGTTCAGCCTGCCCATTTGCTTCAGGATGATTCCCAGAAGTCATCTGAAGCTGGCTGCCCATCTGTTCAGCGGCCTGTTTCCACATCTCACTACTGAAACAGACATCTCTATCACTAACGATAGTCTTAGGCAATCCAAAATCACGCACCCAGTTGTCTATGAGCAACTTGATGACGTGCTCAGTCCTGATAGTCTCTGGCATGGCGATTAGTCTAGCGTACTTAGTGAACCTATCCACTATGACGAAGATGTGCCTCTTGCCATTCTTGCTGGTCACGAGAGTGTCCATGAAGTCCATGGAGATACTCTGACCCGGACCAACAGGAATGGGTAAAGGCTTGAGTAACCCCAGCGGAGCTTGAGTCCGCGGCTTGTCCCGCTGACAGACCTGACAGGTCTCCACATACTTCTTCACATCGTCAAGCATGTTAGGCCACCAGAATCGTTGTACTAAATTAGCACTAGTCTTCTTATAGCCGAAGTGTCCCATTGCRTCGTGGCACTCACCTAAAAATAAACTACGCAAAGTTTCTCTAGATGGAACAACTAACCTCTTAAACCCTGCCTTCTCAAGAAAGAGTAACCCATCCACCATCACAAATTCATCAGTAGTGGCCTTGTCCTTAGCCTGAAGTTTGTTGATGATGTCCATCGTGATGGGATCTTCCTTGTAGGCTTCATCCAACGATGGAGTTACATCTTCAGATAGACCAAACTCAGAAATCAGCGCACCTAGGTAATTTGCCGTCCTAGACAACTCGTCTGCAACCTTGTTGTGCTCTCCCTTCAAATAGTCTAGTTTGAAATCATATTGATCTATGACTTCAATCCAGCGTTTGAGTGCATCGGAGAGAACTGGTTGAGTCTTGATCCACTTGAGGGTCTGATGGTCAGTTCTCAAGTAGAAGAAACTTCCTAACAGATAGTGCCTCCATTGGACAAGTGCCTTGTAAAGAGCGTAGAGTTCCCTCTCGTAGGTGGACTTTGCCAACTTCTTTGAAGGCATCTTTTTGCTCATGTACTCGATCGGTCTCAACTTCTTCCCTTCCTGCTGAGCGAGCACTGCGCCAATCCCATATTGACTTGCGTCAGTGGTCACAACGAATGGCCTTTGCGGGTCGGGTACCATGAGAACCTCATGATGCGTGAGAGCATGCTTCAAATGCTTGAAAGTTGCCTCACACTCGTCGGTCTAGTCCCATGGTGTGTCAAGTCGAGTTAGATCAGTCAAGGGAGATGCGACCGTACTATAATTCTTTATGAAATTGCGGTAATAACCACACATTCCCAAGAACGATCTGACCTCAGTCACTGAATGGGGTCGTGCCCAGTCACGTATGCTGGCCACCTTCGCATCTTCGGGCCTAATCCCATCCGCGGATACTTCATGACCCAAGTACAGGATTCGAGTGCGACCGAACTCGCATTTCTCTATGTTTATCTTATACTTGTGCTGCCGAAGGAGTGAAAGTACTGTGTCTACATGTTGAGGATGCTCCTCGACAGATCTACTAAAGATAAGTATGTCGTCGCGGTACACGACAACAAACCAGACGCATCCGGACCTAGCTATACTCTGTACGTTGGATGTGTCTGAAGCCTTTGAGGACCTTCAAGGTGAGTGGTTGGCAAGGGACCCTCGTGAGTCCTGGGTGGCACTGAGTAGAGGTCCTAGAGGGGAGCACTTCGTTGTGGAAGTTGATGTGGGTGGTCGCAAGTGCGGCGCCTTTGTAGACATTGGCTCCACGCGGAACTTCATAAGTCGCGACTGCGTTGACAGACTGTGCCTAAAGGACCGGTGCAGCTCCTTAGTAGACCGGTAGCATCTACTTTGGCCAACAAAGAGCGCATGATGGTGGAGGACTACGTTAAAGATGTAGTCTGCACCTTCCCCTACCCAGGAGGAGAGTTAAATCATAAGATATCATTCCTGGTGAGCGACGAGTTGCCCTTTGATATGTTGTTGGGCATGTACTACCTCGAGGTTGCCAAGCCCCAGTTTGACTGGGACAAGAAGGTGTTGAAGCATTAGTTGCCTAGTGGGAGAACCGTGAGGCTGGCCAAATACAAAGCTAGTAGGTTAGTAGACTCCTATGGGTGCTTATGCGCATCTGCCTTTTATAACTATTATAAACAGAACCCAGAGGAAGGAATGTACTTAGTCTATGTCTCTGCAAAAGGGGAGGCCRTWAWWACACCCCCARAGATAGAGACCATCRYCGCCAAGTACCCTGATCTGTTCGAGGAGCCTACAGGAGTCGTAGACAGGGAGATTGTCCATGCCATAGAGATCATCCCCGGTAGTAAAACACCTAAGGGAAGAATCTATAGGATGGCCCCAGCCGAGTTGGACGAACTTCGGCGGCAATTGAGAGAGCTCACAGAGAAGGGTTGGATTCGGCCTAGCACTTCTCCCTATGGCTCACCTGTCTTATTCGTTCCAAAGAAAGGGGGAACACTAAGGATGTGCATTGATTATAGAGGCCTCAATGTCATCATCGTTAAGAACGCAGAGCCTCTACCACGCATCGACGACCTATTGGATAGGGTACAGGCATGTAAGTACTACACAAAGATAGACTTAAAATCCGGCTACCATCAGATTGCCATTAGACCAGAGGACTAACACAAAACGGCATTTCAGACCAGGTACGGTCTGTACGAGTTTGTGGTGATGCCCTTTGGCCTTTGCAATGCGCCGGGTACATTCCAGCACGCCATGAATAGGATCTTCCATGACTACTTTGCGGGGGGACTAAGGAGTCAATAACTTTGGCCATCTCTTGAAACGGGGAGGGTACTTCACCCGCTTCAACGAGTGTAGAAGCAGCTATAACTTCTACTGGCCCTTAGTGTTTCCCGAGCTGGAGCTCGTAGAGGCCCTAGACTGAGAAGAAGAGAACCCACCCTTAGGAGCGATCTTCTGCGAGACCTTCGGGTTCTTGCATTTGAACTGTGTGTGACCATACTCACCACAGTTAATACAAGCACCACGACTCCAACGGTCCCGCCACACATCTTGATCCAGACCTGCTCTAACCCAAGCGACAATTTTGTTTGGGTTGGCGGCCTGCCCCTGACTCCTTTGCTGACCGCCCTTCCTGCGGCCACCTGCCTTAGTCTTAACTACGGCGGCGAGGTTGCTACCCTCAGCACTCTCCTCGCCGTCAAACTCTGAACCCTCCACAAGATCAGAAACATCATCGATCTCGGTTTGATTCCCATCGGAATCAACCATCATCAATCGACTACCCTTTTTCTTCCACTCTTGTGGAGTCTTCTTCTTTCTCCCATCCGTAGAAGGGGTTTGAGCTCCACCCAGCGTAGCCTCTAAGTCTAGGGCCTTCTTGCTGAATGACTCAAATGTGTGATACTCGCATCGAGCCTCGCTGGCTAATAAATTCCTAATGTCTGTGGGAAGACATCTCAGGAACATGGTCTGCAAGACCTGTGGATTGTACTCCACTCCCGGGACGACGATCAGGTGCTCAACGACTGTGGTAAGTTCCCGCACTGACTTGTACTTTCTAGTATCAAGTTTCAAGAGCCTGTCAGTGGCTATCTGTGCCTGCTGAGGGTTGTGCCAACGAGCCTCCACTAAATCCATAAAGCTTTCAAGAGTATGGGTCTGCGCCCAATCATGCATGTTCCTGCCGAAGCCCTTTTGAAGCAATCAATCCGTTTAGCCAACGGGCTGCTGAACCCTCTAAGTAGGATGCAGCAGTAATCACTTCCTCCTCTATCAATGTCCTCTTTACCTTTACCCACACTGGCACCGTTCTCAACCATGTGTCGAGAGCCTCATCCTTCGTATCTCCTGAGAAGGTTGCAGGTGGGTTCAGTGGGGTCTTGGGGTACCAAGGATATTGTTGTCCTTGTTGTGAGACAGATGGAGACTGTGGTGTAGCAGCAGTCGCTGGACCAGAAGATGAAGAAGCAACAGTCTGAGATAAAGGTATTGTTGATGATACACTTGGTGGTGGTGTAGACTGAGCAGCATAGAGACCTGTCATCGCTGAGAGTGGCAGCGATGGTAGAGCTGCTGGCCGGATCCCTGGCTTATGTAGCGCTTGTAGGATCTGGTCTAGAGTATCCTGCATGGCGTCCATCTTGTTGTCTATGTACGCATGCATGGAGAGGACGCTTGGCTTCAGGATCTTTCCTGTAGTGTTTAGGGCAGTGTCATCTAATGCCTCTAGCGCAGCCATGTCTGTCTCCCTATTCTCTAGTCTGACACTTCTCTCTTTGATCTCTTTCTCTCTCTTAGTAGCTTGTCTAAGTTCCTCCTCTAACCTTAAGCGGATCCTCTCTACTTGCTGGAGCTCCATCTGCTCCTGGGTGCGTGGAGGTGGCGAGCTGAACTGCGAGCCCGCCATTTGACTAGTGCCAACCCCTGACGTACCGGAGATGAGATTGACTGTGAACTGGTCGGCATGCCTAGCCCTTGACCAGTTGAGTTCGCAGCAGTTGCTGCGGAAGTATCATTACTCATTGCTACCGCTCTAGCAGCTGCTGCTTCTCTTGCAGCCTCAAGATTATGGGCCTTAGCTTCAGCCCTTAATCTTCTCTCTTCTCCCGGTTGTAGGGTCTGAAACACTCTAGGGATTCTAAGGGATGTTAGCCTTGTTAACCTCCTATCGTCATCTGCACCTTCACCACCCTCTGATCCACTTATAGGATAGGCAGACGCTGTCTGCACTAATGTCCTCGCTGGAACGTACCGCAACATGCGTCTGACCGGATCTAAAAAAAATAAAAATAAATGTCCGGCGAGTTACCTAGCCTACTAGTCAAGCGGCATCAACAACATCTACTCAAACTATACACATTGCCTAAGTCTTATTCTGATTAGTCTGCACGTAAGATTTGAGAAGAATTGACTATGGTAGATTACAGTCCTATCTCTAGTCTGTCTGTTAGGTGTCAGCAGTCGGTCAACCAACTAATCAAAATAAAACTCAAACTAATGTGAGCAGATGTATACACAATGGACATGTCAGGGATGTACAGTTGAGTTCACAATTGGAATCCCCTTCCCCTGTATCCAACGTACCTGTGAGCATCATCAAGCTGCAGTGTCTAAGGTGTGCAACCACGGTCCATCCCTGTGCCCAAGAAGTATGCTTATGACCAGCCTGCCCCTTTGTTTACCCTCGCGTGCAACGAGCCTTACGTCTGAATGATCTGGCTGATCAGGAGGGATTTAAGGAGAGCCCCCATCTCCTCAGGAATTATTTAACGTCGCAAACAGGACGACGATCACAACCAGTGAACAGTTCAGACCCCAACCAGAAATGTTTATAGACGGTCTGCGAGCGTCTCAATAGGACTGGTCAGTCTGCACACCCCTTCTATCAGCGCAGCAAAGAGCCTCAATGGACAAAGCAGCCATCGCATGCGTGTACTAATCCCATTGGGTTGGCATGGTGACCGTGACCCACGTGCTTCGACCAGGGCCCTTCAGAGGCACCGCCCTCTCCTGCCAGATGCGCCACTGGGAAGAATGTCGTCTCTCAAGATAGAGCGCACACGACTCCTTACCAAAGAGAGGACACTCAAGTTGGACTCACTTCCTCACGGTAAGAAGAGATTGAGAGGGTAGATAAGGAATGGGAACAACGTACCTGGAGATAGCTGCCCCCAACCACAGATTTCTCACCAATTGGGCTGATGTGCATTTCGATGACCGGTCAATAGCCTCGGTACCACCCACAACGCAATGTAGTGCCACCTCAGCCAAAATGCCACGTTAGCATACTCTCATCATCATGTATACATCCGCTGTCGCCACAGCTCCCACGCTGTCGCCACAGCCTTCCAGCAGCTGGCCTCTCTACCTAGGCCCCGCTAATCACCCAGCGGCAAAGTATTCTCACTGCACATGAAGCATCCTCAGCGCACCAAGTTACAATGTCACCGGTGTCAGGTAAGCGGTGATCACAACCAGCTCCGATACCAAATTGCAAGGAATATGAGTGTGAGCGATATACATAAAACCAAGTTGCGAAATCACACAGCTGAGCAAGTAGTAGTATCCCAAGTAGAGAGTACAAATGCACTGAGAAAACCATCCATAGAGAGCAATACAATGAAGTATTGAGCCAATGTCCAAGCCCGTAGGCCACACCAACACAGTATCCAGAGTCGCTCTCTCTGTCTGGCGTACAGTGCCCAGCCTACTCTACCATACTATCCTACTCTACAGCTGGTTCACACAACAGGATCACTTCGGCTCACGAAGACCAATGTACATGACTGTCCACACCATCGGCGACCTCTCTTCATGTACCAGGTACGTATCTCGTCACCCTCAATCAGACCTTGATTACCCCACACAGCGCCTCACTCCCTGAAGACCACCC